TATATATATATATATATATATATACACATACATATATATATACATATATATATATATATACATACGTTGGCATATATTTGTGTCATACATATATATTCATCGTAATATACATAAATGTAGATCCAAGCCTGAGTAGGAAGCTGCCATTTTAGTAACCTCCTTACCTCTTCTAGAGAAGAAGAGTATGTCCTTTATGTTTTAGACAACAAAAAAGCGTTAACCTGTTTCACTCTTAAATAGATATTCAGTTCGCTGGAAATCGTTACCTACATTTTCTTTGGCCCTGTATACATATTCTTTCGCTCCACATTGTTAGCTTCCCACTGCTTCCATGTCTAATCAATAATACGTAAGCTAGTAAATCATCGGTTCCGACTGTTCCTAGGCAGCATTATTTCTACACATCCTTAAATTATACTGCCTAAAGTGGTAAAGTATTCAAATGCAATGGATGATTTCAGTTTATTATTAACAACTGAGGGGAATCACCATTATATTACCACAAGTGAAGATCTTTGAATATGCGGTTATTAATATGTACTGTCAGATTAGTGAAGCATGGTAATGCAGCAAGTCTCAGTGCTACTATTAATCAAATGGAAAACAGGCGATTCAGTTCCGTAGATTATCGTTAATTCGTAACCCGTTCTTGCGGAACAGACGATACCAGTCCAAGACCAGATTAACCATTCGTAGAAGTTTATGTTTTCTCTCTGCTACTGTCTAATATATCCTAATGTTATAAGCATGTCGTTCAAATCTGTCGTTAAATCTTGATAATTACACGTTTTCAAGAAGAGATTAAGACCCCTACAAGAATCTGGTCATCTTTCTATGCCGCACTGTCTGCGGGAGTGATGAATTGATGAAGTAATTAGTTCCAGATAAGAAGACACTTTGTCCTCATTAGCACCACATATAATTTTGATACGGTTGCTTTCGTTTAGCCGTATGCCTCTTCTCGTTCCCTAATAATAGTAATGATTTCCTCATTGCTTCTATGCAATACATTTTGAGTAAGTTGTTCGTCTGTTTTCTTTTCTAACATTCGTTGTCAACATGAAATGAGAATTCGCTACCCCACTGCGTTTTGTAGCTGCACTTGTCGCACGTGTACAGGCCGCGTTCGTGGGTCATCATTCGATGCGAGTCGAGGTTGTTCCAGGTCTTATATGCCTGGCCACACGCATGACATCGGTAAGGTCGCCGGCCCGGATGCATCTGCAGGTGGAGAAGCAGCTGCGTGAGTTGGCTGTAAGAATTCGTACAGTAGCAGCAGACGAAGCAGCGTTCATCTTTGCGAAAGCACTGCGCGATCGCGTGATACACAGCGTTACAGTTATCACCAGAGCCGATAGCGACTGCGAGGTCCAGTGGGGGATCGACCGGGATCTCCATTGTCTCAAGCTCTTCGTCCGCCAGTCGGGCTATGGACAGACGCAAAGCAGCTGATCCAGCAACTGCAGTGGCAGCTGCAACCGTAACAACATCCGCTTGTGTACCTGGAAATATGCCAATAACAATAACAGTAATAGGGTCAATCGATCGGATGTCAGGTGAATCAGGATGGAGGAAGTCAACGAGGAAAACCAATAATAGCTCCGACTTGTTTACAAGTACAACGTAATGCGAGCTGTAAGTAACCAATTTTTATGTTTGCGTTTATTGCCATTATAAGTATCCCACCTAAATAGTGGTGTGCATAAGTGAGACGTTCGTGGTGTACCGGTTATCCTCAGGAAAGTTAGGCACCGTAAACCGTAAGCCGCACGTTGAGAATAAGCAAAATTTGTCGATCTAGTGCATTAAAATTTGTTAATATTGTTCAGTTGTGGTGTATTGGTAACTTGAAGGTGTTGCAAATCTATCGGATTGATTAGTATATCATTTTATGCAGTTTCTAGATCTTGCAATTTCGACATAGTCGACACAAAAAATGCTGCCAGAGAAGCTAATTATGCCGTGGACGTGTCCTTCAAAGATGCGACCGTATCACCTGTAAGTAAAGGGAACTGTTAGAACTGTTACTCGTAGTATATGTCCAACTAGTGTTATTCAACAGGGTATCTGATTTTTATAGCTGGAAAAAACAGATATGTACGCATTACATATACGTTTAAATAGAATTTTATATAACACACTCGCATAATTAAGAACTGCTTACCTCAAAACAACATTGCAAAATTAAAACTCCAAGCTAATAGATTTGAGAAATATATTTATTTTACTTTACCATACTTCATAAGCGAACACGTGAAGTCTCGCATGTAAATGTACGTATACTTGCTTTATGTATATATGTGGGTGTGTATATATTGAGAGCAAGATGTATATAGACATATAAATATGTGTATGTAAAGATTGGCTTTGTAAATATAATCTGCGCAAAAAATAAATTTCTTTTACATATATGGATACAATCCAAAGTCAATAAATATATTAAATGTTTATGTTTCGTTGAAGTAAACGAGTACGCTAGGGTTATCAAAAGAAATCACTTAGTAATAAAATACAGAAACTATTAGTATTTTTCTGTTTTCGGTAATATAACCATTTCGCACGTTTACTACCATCGAGTTCATGATAACACACAGGACTCACAATGCAAACAAAAGCCACTGGAGCTTACGGGACAACACCAAACAACTAAGGTTCATCACTTATTTCAACGTCGTTTTCTAATATTGATGTTGGTAAAAATAGTGATAATTATTTTAAAAGTGGACAACCATGTACAAAAATATTGATTATGTTTCGACTGGTCCGTCCAAACCGGCTTCTTTGCCTATAAATATATGTCATTGCTATTTTTATAGAAGGAAGTCATTGTACACTACGACGACAAACAAAAGCGGAGTCAAATACATAGCATCAGCCGTGCTAATTCGTTATCGTTGGCTTTTTCCATCTCAGCAGTAATTATAAATTACACACAACAGTCTACTATGAACAGGATGAACGCATTGAATATGGTTCGAAACGCACGTAATTTTTCGTACGCCACAGGGGCAAGAAATAGCAATCATGTCCGCTTAGTAAAGCAGATTTTCTCTCTATGGGAAAATACCACAGCCCGTTCGGTGACGTCGTAGTTGGCAAGCATCATCTTTTAGCAAACAAATGTACAACCAAATCTGGCCATGTTTTAGTAAGATACGATTTTTGAGCCATACACACATGAGAAACGTGCAGAAAATATGCAGGTTAATAGAAAGATAAGAGGAATAACACTTCCTGACAAAGTTACGGTTCAATTGCTACATAAAAGAGCAGGGCAAGTAGATTCGCAAGAAAGTACCACATTGTAGTAAAATTTTTTTTAATAAATACCTATTTCTCACTTTGTAAGATTTTCGATTTTTTTTTATCTTGTTTTCTAAGGCAGGAGCTATTAAATATAATACGCTGTGATACCCCCACATTGAGAAGAACCTTATAGTATATTCAATGAGCTCGTAGCCCTCGTACATTGAAAACTTCACGCGGTCACAGCTACACGTTACACATACAGGCTCAGAAATACACGGGCGCACATATCCTACCCACACAGAGCGAAACACTGACTTTTATTAAGGTACGTCACCATCAACAGTTAGATGCTATGGCCTTGCTCAAACTGTGAAGAGCCAAAAGAAAATGGAAGACCGCAGTCACGATCCAAAAACAAGGTTTATCGATCTGAAGCTATTTTAAATATTTTCTATAATACATCATACGCAAGTATCGCAAACATCCCATTACTAAGTTTTTCCATAAATGCATGGCATTATTACAATCGGACAATAATCGTATTGCAATATTTTCAAATGCTTCACAGCCTATGTTTCGGTCGTAAGCACAAGCACACAGTTATTCTATTATTATATATAGTTGTATGGACCCGGCTTCCTGGTACGTGGACATAACTTGAGTTGCATGTTCGGCCGGATATGGCGGTTTGAAGCGCAATTCTACGCGCAATTCTTCGATGTAATAAAAATCGCGACTTCTAACATAATATAGCAATTATGCAATAGAGCAATTATTATTATTGTAGAGTATTAAAGATATTTTATGCTGACCCTCCATCAATAGTTTTGCTTTACGTACTCAGTTATTAGTTTGAATTATGGTTCATGTTCCTCAGGTGCACAGCTCTAGATAGGCTCCAAACTCTTCGTTTTTGTTCGAATACAATTAAAGACGTTCTTCTTTACAGCCACAAATTTTCTTGCTTTCATCGCTGAACATACAACCTCTTATAGCCTAGAGTGAATCCACAATTCAAATCCATGCCCATGTTGAGGAAGTCAAAACTTAAATTCCCTTTGATCATAAGTTATCATCTTGTTATCACAAAGAGTTTCTTTAGGTAGGCCTTTAAAAGCGGCATTGACCGGGTACATCAATTTACAAGTAATTTCAGTGCTAATGAACGCCACCATATTGGTAAAAGCTTCTTTTTTAATAGAGCAGCTTTTATTTATCTCCCCACTTAACCTATATAAGAACCTTTACCTACGGGTTATTTGTTATAGGCAAAAGAACTCTACTCCATATCCAACTCTATATGTGCATTGTTTCACGAAGTAATATCAACATCGGTACGCAGACTCATTCAGCTCTTGCCAACTTTTCAAAATAGTTTGCAGTTTGTTATCGCCCTGATTCAAAGCAATACGAAAACACTTGTTGAAAATGCTATCTAATATACACATATTTTTATACTGTTGTCAACGTTTGACACCCAAAGCCATTCTCAACTTACTACATAATAATAATCATATACACTTATGATGTATAGTAATACCTCAATCGATTGCACGTTTTACACCCCGTTACTAATCGCTGAAATCATCCACTAGCTCGGCTATTATATATTACTTTACCAGTTGCACTCGTTGTCACCCCACTTAATTTATTTCGTTCATAGTCATATAATATTGCGTATCATGCACTGATGTCACTTTTTTCTGTAACAACGTCACTCTTCTCACCCTAGTTACTAATACTACACTATCCAACTATTACTACTATCAGCGGAGGCCAAAATGGCTCCTTTGCTCATGTTTCTTCACATTGTACTCGGCATAGTCGCGATAATCACAAAAGCGACATTTGTGAGTGCCAAGCGCCCGCATCTCCGACTGCTGGCTCCATCCCCCGCGCACCGTTCGTCGTAACACCCCACACTGGTACGAGTGCACAAGTAACGCGTTGTCGTCGCTGGCTTCGAACCCGCATCCCACGCAACGAGCGTCTGCTGTACAAGCCCCCAGTCCGCCAGGCACCACTGGGCCCCCGTGTGGAGGTCCAAGTGTCGCAAGCGGCGGTAACGCAGGAAGGGGAGGCAGGTTATCCCCGAGCGCAGTAGCTAATGCTGCTGGAAGACCGACAGCGGCGGCGGCGGCAGCAGCAGCAGCTGCCGCCGCCGCAGCAGCAGCAGCAGACGCTGACGGTCCTGCCAGTGCAGACGCTGCGCTACCCGACGAGAGTAAAGGTGGACCCGATGCTGCGTCGTCTGGAGGAGGTGTTCGCGCCTGAAGCCGCTGAGCTGTTGATTATCCGCAGATATGAGGGCATATGGAAATGGTGAAGTTAACGGTTGCTCCATTATCATTAGAGGCTAGCTTAAGCTTATATGATATCATCAACGCATTTAGGCAATGCATTCTAGACAGGTGTGACGAACGAAGAAAATGACATATGGTAATTAGATATTTGCAGTACTTATTATTCGTTTGCAAATAAGATATGACAATTGGATATAGGTTCGTTGGACGCTGGGACCGATTAATTGGGTTGCTGAGCAGCAACCTACCAAGAATGGAAACACCCGCCATGCCCGTGTCAACAACGGGAGCAGCTTCACTCGTGGGGATCAGAATTCCGCTGCCGGAAGCGACTGCAATAGACACGCAATGTCATTAGGGGCTTGCCTTCGTAACTGTTGCAAATCTAAAAATAGAACAGCTTTAATATTGCTATAAATAACGGTATGCGTTCTCACTTCTGATATTACACGACGATCTGAATTAAAACTTTTCATACAGACACGATCCGATAATATGGAATAGCTTCTGGCTTATGTGATGGGTCGTCTTTATTTCCGTCGTTGTTGTCAACGGGCGAATCTTGCTGTTCTCGTTTTGTTCACTGTATTCGTTTTGCGTACGTCCAAACTCGATGCTCACTTGTTGAGCTACTGTAGGATTGATAGCCAATTCTTGCAGATCTAATAAGTGCGTGGATATTAGAATTTGAAAAACATACAAAACGTGCTGGAAGTCATTGATGTTGTTCTATGAATGCAAAAAAGTAACCGTAAAAACAACAAAATGTGAATAAAAATAATATAATAAATTGACGCAAAAACGCGTATGTTCAGACTTATAATTTCAGATAGCTACGCAGGATGGAAAGAGGTCGTCGCAGAAGATCCGCATGCTTAAAACAACCTAAAAGAAGAAGCAGTATTAGAAGCTGTACTAGAATGCGCACACGCGACCTATTGAGTTCTTATATGTTAGCTGAGCAACGCATTTAATGTATCAGAGACTGCGGAATAGATCAGTTTTACAAACGAAGTCTTTCCTGACTTATTAGATACTTGTAAGGGTGCATTTATTTCAAACAGCGATAATAAAAAAAATAGGCATATCTGCAACAACTTGAAGCTAGAACAGTTTTTTATTCAGAACGGGACTGATATTACAGACGGAGCCTGACTATTAAGTTTAGTGCACATGCTCTATTTTTACTAGCACTCTTGCAGATGCAACTATTCCTACTACTCAACAGCGATAGCTAGCATCACAGGTTTATTTAGCCGATTCAACTTCTTTGCGAGTACCGTTTACCTAAAAGGTTAAACCTACATTTGCTAGAGTTTATTATTATATTAGAATGGTTCACCAATTTCAGCAGTTTCATGATTTCGATTTCATAACTTTATTGAAGTTAGTTAACGCAGCGACCGTACTGGCATACAAAAAAAAAACTATTTCATTCATGTTGGCTTGAACTAGGCCCACAGTCACGTTTATTTGCTCCATATATGCGAGGCAATAGTTTCGTCCTTGTCACAAGATTAATACCACTCTAAAAATAGTCCACTCTAAGTATATATACACGAGCTCAAACGATTCATATTACTATATATATAGCGATGACAATAGCATTGAACAAAACCAAGAAATTTAGGTAGCATACGTTGTTTGATACATCAACTTGTTCGCATATTCTCGTACGATTCTATAGTAATAATAAATATAATAACAAACACAATAAAAATGTTCGATAAACTAAAAAATAACCATAGGTACAATATATCGAACCGTATATTCATGAGCAATACCTTGCACCGGAATTGGCCGGTTCCTTTCCACGATGTCGGATAAGAAAAGCAAATTATGAAATCTCATACTGCACTCATACATCGTCAGAGCGGTCTTAATTAGAAGTTCCTAAAAAAGGAGCAGGCATGTAAATCAAGATAAGAGCAATGACATTTACCAACAGCCTTTATAACTTCCAACGATTTTTCACCAAATTTACCTTAATATCTCTTTTAAAATATATCTAATTAACTTCAACTTGTCCTTTTTTGTTTTACCCACATGTAGGTTTTACACTTTTCACAAAACACATACCATATCGAATTAAAAATGTGTAAAGTGACAAAGTTGCAATTCTTTTGGCTGAGCAAATGCAGCCACGTAAGCTCGAAAACTGCAACTGCTAGCAGCCTAACTCTGCAGTACCTAAGGCGTGACTATTCTTATTTACCTCAATTAAAATATAATACCAGTAATATTATCGTGTAATGTTATGAGTGTGTCAATACGAATGTGATAAATCTTTTAACGTTTTCTCTCAAAGTTTACGCTTTATTCACGAAATACAAGAATCATTCTGTTGATATGTGTCCGTGAAGAGGGCGCTTGAGCTGATGCCGTTACGACTACTACCAATGTTTTTTGTACAATCTGTCGTATGCGTCAGGTCAATAGAGACAAAAGCCGGACAGTCATCGCATGTTAACCTACAACTTCGCTACAGAACGGTCAGTGCTACTGTAATGCACTATGAATCTTAGTCATACCTGACTTTGCTTTAAGCTAATTGAGTATCAGTTAGGGTTGTTACATTTCTTAATAAACGAGCTCATTTTAAGTAATAATGGTACCTCGTACCCAAGCATGAACAGCCAACTCTCAAAGTTGGCAATGTGTAGTACAAATCCGGGTTATGCAGGGTCGTCAACTGTTACATTACCGCTCAGCCAAATCTTGTTTCTCAATAGATCATTTGTCTGATGCTTGAACAGTCTGCGGACAAGGTTCATGTTGTTAGGGTCGTGCTTATTCGAACTTTGCTATCAATTAAGGCGATTTTTACTGCTTCTACTCTTGAGGTTACGACTACTGGAGAAGGCGAATCCGATATGGTGCTCACGCAGCGATGGCTTTTTTCTATAGCAGACTCTGCATTCACTTGCGAGGCTATGCGTTTGTATAAATCCATTCATGAACCTGAAAAAAATCACGCGAAATGTTAGTTCGAAATTGGCTTAAAATTTGGCAGATCGCAGTTAACATATACGTGTAAGTTCCATTAGCAATTTGAGGCGGATATATATATTTAGTTAGCTTGATCCAAACGCTTCGGATTGACTGCCAATGACAGACCTTAGCTCTACAGAGTATTTAATTTAGAAAATCTATATTTCGATTAATGCTTGAAGGGTCATTATATTTTTATTTTTTACCACCGGTAAAAACGATGCTACTTCATTTCGACATGAACGAAGCGTAATATTTTCTGTATGATATCGTTTCCGATTCTTCATCGTAGCTACCTTTAAACTTGTCGATGTCCTTGCCGTCACTGAGCAAAATCGGCGCTTGTAAAGCCGTTCCCTAACATGCATTTTTCCGAGTTGACATAAGCACTTGGGCTGTTTCGCAGGATAGAAATGCTAGTTACATTGAAGATTGGCCAGGTAGTCCTCAACGTTTATTGTAGTCGGCGCTTTATCGGTTTACCCCATGTCTAATTGATAAGTAATTATTGTTGTTCATCCTGCACGTATTTGTACATCGATAAAGTCAAGGTTTGAAAATCTCAACTGGTTTACGATTGTGATAACTGACATAAGGGAAAGCATTCCCTATTCCGCTACTAGGAATAGGAAATAAGGGACATACTGGAATAAAGGAAAAAAGGGACGATACTGAAACATCAAGCTTTTGCACACAACGTCATTATGCAGCTGGAAACAAAAAACATGCAACTCATGATGAACTGATACAACCAATTGGTTATGAGAACCATCCAACCTTAAGATTGTAATAATAGCGAACTCAATAACCAATTTTATTGTGTGAGCAAAACCAACCAAAAAATATTGCAATCAAATAATCTATGAAAGGTAACGTAAACAAGAGAAGATCAATATCATGGGTGCAAGTGCAGCGGTGCGCTGGGTGACAATGTTGACGAGCATATTAATCTGAAATAAAATACAACGTTAGAACGATTTCACTTATGCAAACCATTTTACTTCAGCTATAAAGGCTAAGCTGCCAAACAGTTGCGGTTGCCATAGGGGTATTATACACGAAACGCAATAAAAACACGTAACATTCGCGTTAATAGTACAATTAACATGTATTGGTATATTATGGAGTATTACAGAGAATAAAGTTTTTCTCGTCATGATACAAAACATTATTACCTCTATCATTTATACAAAATTAGCTTCCTTTATCTCTGCCCGTTGTAGCTTCTCATCGAGAAAGCGCCAATTACCGTGGTTCGCCTCCAACTTGCTATTTCTTCAAAAAATTATAATATCATATAAAAAATCATACACTCCAGCCTTTATGTATCCGTGTAATAAAAAAAAAAATTAACCCAAAAATATCGATCTAAACATATTATGAAATAGAACATACTATGTCTGTGAGATAGAAAAAAAAAACAAAATGTCTCTAAAAACTCTAAACATGTTGAATTTCAAAGAGCGATGTAATTTAGTAGAACTGCTTCTATTTTAAAGAGGCTGGACACAAATTGTTTACTTATATTTTCCTCGGTTTTCTACTTTCTGCCTAATACCTTTTATTTTGCTTTTAAAGCAACAAGTTTTTCCCCATTTTCTCAACCAAGGAATCTATTTTTTCAGTCCTTTTTTAATATTCTTATGTATCCTGTTTATTATCTTTTTTACCACCTAACCTATCACTACCTTAACATATTAGCAAACATCATTGATTATTAATTAGAACCTTTTCGAAAATCAAAAGCGAAGTTGAATAGTGGTTTGCATTCCCAATATTTAATTCCTGTTTTTCGGTTCGGAAGACATCATCATACTTTCTGCAAATATCTATAATTGTGGTGATTATAGCTGTTTTAGTTACAGCTGTTTTTATACTAAGAAATGCTTAAGGGAATATTTTTTTAATTAACGTTGTAAATGGGATTTATGTAATAACCTTAACTGGTTGTTCCAGCTCGATCAAACTAACTTCAAGTTAACTGGCCATGTTTCAGTAAACCGGAGTGTAAGACTAGGTCGAATCGAACAGACAGGCTAAGTAAAATTCCCCGTTTTTGATATTCGAAAGCGGTAGAAAGGTGAAAATGTTATGAGATCTTCAACATAAACACAGTAATTATGTCAACGCAAAATTGCGTTCGCTGGTCATGATTCCGGTTTAATCCACGTCTTATGATGAATCCTGGTTTCGTGATGGTCTCTTGTTTTTTGATGGCGTGCATCTTCCGACTATATACCTCGCCGGAAATGCCTAACTGTAACTATTATCGAAGTTATGTGGCCTGATAACAAAACTTGAAGATCGTATTTCGGCCATAGGGTTTCGTGAACTATTTTTTACTGAGCCCGCTGGGTCCGGTCAGCGCATTGGCAGCTCCGCCACTTAGCATAATATACGGCGTCTGTAATTGTTTCTGTTTTTCCTGTAGAAGCTTCAACGTGTTAAGTGGAGTGTCTACGCTGGACATTTGTTCGAGCTTGTTTAGCTGTTCGATTTTCTTCTGCCGCTTGTCGATCTTGTTTTTACCGGAGCCTTTCCCGTGGAATTTGTGTGAAAGGTAACGGAAAGCCTCTTTCTGATTAATTGGACGCCCACTGTCATCAATATAGTCGATATTAACCTCAGGCTTATAATTAATTTTATCCTTAAAGTCAGAGACGGGTCCATGATAATGACCTGCTCCGCCACTTCGGCGACCTGAAAGAGTTGACAATATTGAAAATACTGAAATTGTTTTATCTTGATTTTATCTTTATTAATTACTTTCCTGTAGAAATATAGAAAAATATAAATAGAAAATAGCCGACAGTTTTCAAAGGAAAACTGTCATCTATTTTTTGACGTCCGTAGGTATCTCCAGCAGATAAACAATGTGACTAGCTAACATTCTATCCATTTTGTATAAAATCTAAGCTTTAGCATTTTCCTGATAACCCAAGCTACATTTGCCGACAAGTTGGAAATGTTAGATGACAATTGTTTTCAGCAGCTTACCTCGACCTTCATCATCGTAGTATTTTTCCTCGATCGTATAGTTCTTAGCCTGTAGATCTTGTAGTTTTTTCACAGTGGCAGGCTTGTTTTTGGACCCATCCTCAATATAGCCCTTTTTCCTAGCTAGTTCAAGGGCTCCAGCCACTCCTAAGGACACATTTGGTTCTTCCTCAAGGATCGGCATAGCCTCCTTCGAGACCGTTACTCGATCTTCTGTTCGTGCAGACAGTGTCCTATGCCTCTGCACCGACGGATCTACTTCGGCCCAAGTGTTACGTTGTTCTTCCTCCTCTTCCATGGGCACGTTTTCTCCGTTACCTGGGATAACATATAAACTCTTCGTTTATTTACAGAATAGCTATTTTGACAACGCCTAAATTTTGGCGAAGTAACAATGAAAAAGGAATGCCAAATTACACATTCGCTCTAAATCACAAATATTGTATTATTATAACATCGTCACAATCGCCAGTGACAGATAACATATTTCTTTTTTCTAAGATAGATCTATATTCTAATTAAACTTGTGCCAAAACGTTAGATTCCAGACGAAATAAAAACCGTATTCACTGAACGTATTTCTTAGCAAAATTCCCGTTTTGTTTCTACATATTTAAAATTCTAAATAACTGAAAAATAATGATCGATGAATACGTATTGTTTAAAAAAGAGAAAAGCTTATCAGGTACCATCGTCGATCTCCACTTCGTCTTCTTCTTTGGGCTTCTTTTCTAAACGCTCCTCTTTGAGAGTATACGCTGAGATAGTCCCAAGTGTCCTGCAAAATTCGGCTGTGGCATTAAGAACCATCGAGGAGCTAAAGTTCACGCCGCTGGTAATCTGCTCCTCGGGTTCTTCTTTTATAGCAGCTATCTGCGACGCCACTTGCTTAATTGACTCCTCAGGACGCACGACTTTTTTACTCTTGTTCAATTTCTCACGATATCTTTGTTCTGGTAAATCATCCTCGACTTTAATATTGGATAGATCAGTGTCAGGTCCCAAGATATCATCATCATCAGTGGGCCTTTCACGCCTTCTTCTATACCCGTGATCGATGTCGCTACCTGCAGCAGGTTCTTCGCCAATTGGCACTAGGTCTTCCGCCTTTAGGATTTCGCGTTTGCGAATCTTGCGAATCTTTTTTTTTGGTTTCTTGAATGATGCCATTTCATCAATGGTCATATAGTCCCTTGCAACTTCTGGTAGCGAAAGAATAAGCGATTCCTTCTGTTTTTGGAGTTTACTTCGAATCGCTTCTAGTTCTTTCTGGCGGCGTTCCTCTTTGTTAACACCAATTTTAAAACTATCCTTCTTTGCTCCGGAGATCTCTTCGTCGTACTTCGAGAGGACGTTTTTCTTATGCACAATGCCAAACTCGTCTACCTCAGCGTCGTCGTATGGATTATAGGTATTGACGCCTAGCTTTTTATTTAGATTGTTCCTTTCGACCCGTTCGTCATCTATAAGATTCGCATTCTCTAAAACGTCTTCACCATCGTCGAGGACTCCCTGATCCTTTAGAGTAAGCACCACTGTTTGGCCTTCCCTAATACGGTCTTCCCTGTGAGCGATTTCGATGCCTTCCAGGTCCTTAGCGCTGTAGTCTTTCTTAGGCAACTTAAGTTCTTTCTTGACAAGATCATCAATACCTGAAAGAAAAAAAATTATCTCACAGTATATACATATGTATTGTATACTGGCCCATCCTAGAAAGAAGATTTACGCCAAAAGGGCTAAGGTCAACAGTATATACTGTGTCATAATTTAGCTGCAAGTTGCAAATGCCAATTTTTGAGCTAGATGATCATACCGAGCTCATTTTCCATCTCTTGGAGCATTTTTTCACGCTTAGCAGCTCTTGCTTTTTCGTCAGCTATGGCACGGGACTTTGCAATCCACTTTGCTGCATCGTCATCTTCATCAGAATCAGCCAAACCCTTCACCTGTAAGAAAATCGCATGATAATAATACACTTCTTATCGTACGTCCATATTTGTTGTAATACAAACGCATGATATGTATATTATTTAATCTATGACATACTACAGTTCCTTGTAATACGAACTTGCTTTTTTCATCATACTCGACGTAACAGCGCTATTTCACATCGAACCCGGAATCAAAAGAACACACATATTCCAATATAGTCAACACACGCAAGTTTTCAGGGTACTCTAGTAATAATACGAACAGTAATATGCAAAAACAACTGAACTAATATATATGTCTGAAATAGAAAAGCACTATCTTATATTGATTCAAGTCACACAGGAAAAATAGGGCATACAAAAGTCCAACTGTAATATAGCTCACCTTCTCATATCTCCGCTTGATTTCTTGCTTCTTGCGCAGAGTGCGAATCTTATCTCGAAACGCCTCGGCCTCTTTTTTTTCGGAAATATTTTCAGTTCGTACAAACACTTCCTTATTTTCATCGTCTTTCTTTTCCTCACTGTCGGCTTGAAGTGGCTTGAGGCCCAACTTCGCTCTGAGTCGGTTGGTTTCCTCAATACTCATAGAAAGCTTTTCCTTTCCATCGTCAATCTCAGGAGTAACCTCGCGTTCCTGTGAAGGTCCTTCGGGTGTTGCACTCCGAGCTCGCTCTGGATAGAAGCAAATTGGCAAACTCACACACTAAAAAACTATACGTCTAACGAATACAGTCATTTCCAAGAGTGATTAATATCAAAATGTCAGAAGACACCGTATCAAGCGTCATAGTAAAGTGTATTAATCTTGACGGTAATACCGAGAGTAAAACTGGAAGCATTATCTATTAAAGTTTGCACGTCAACAACAAGTACCTTTTGCAATTCTCCTATCTAACGTATCATCCCTTTTCTTCTGTTCGGCCTTCTCTTCTCGATAGGAGGCATAACGCGAACTGTCTGGTACCACCCTGCCGTGGTCCTCGGATGGAGAACGCCTCCGATCATGACAATCCCTGCCTGCATCTTTGCGTGGTTCTTCTCGCTTTAAGACAGTCAACATAAAAGAAAGTTTTTATGATGTTTCTTGAAAACGCATGCAACCAAAGCATAACTCCATTGTGGACTAAACCGACCTGAATATCCGGCTGAACGTCGATGCGATGATCGTAGCGTTGTTGTCGGTGTAAGATCGTTTGCGCACGAGGCAAACGATGGCGTAAAATATTTGTGCCGCGATGAAATAGCCGAAAAAAGTTGGTAAAAGCAAAAAAGTGCCACTAAAGGCGAAAATCGACGGGCAAGAAACCTCCTCTTCAAGTTTTTGTTACCAAAAAAATGCAACCCAGCTGGGTTACCGCCAAGCGGGAATAAAAAGGATTGTTGAGCAAAAGCACCTCCTCTTCATAGACATGTATACCTGTAGCACCATCTCACGACTCGTTCAGGAGACAGCACCGTCCCATAGGCAGGAACCGAAAATTTACCAGGTCACTCATCCCCTATAGACACAGAAATTATACCGACAATTTTTACGCACTGCTCATGTGCGTCATTTATTGCGTATTATATTACATTCATCGTGTATTCACACAGCCATCTTTAGCTAACTTTTGGTAGCTTCGAATACTTTTTCCTTGCATTTCAACGATCTTATTATTTTATATGTACAAATCACATATGAACATATACAAAATATCTTTGCTCTACCTAAGCATTGTCCAATCTGGAAGGAATAGAAACCTGAAACCCTGTAAGATAATGTTGCCTCAAAATTGCAGGGTTGGTCAGACCGCACAACTTTGAGGCAACAGGTTGGCTGAAAAGAAATAATAGCATGCAAGGAACGGGGCGCGCACCTCATTTAGGGCTAAGAGATTCGGCTGTGGTCTACAAAGCTACCTAAACGTTAGAGCTGAAAAGAAAATAATGTGATTAGATTCTGGGATCGTTATTTAGCTGGGACTGATACGAAACGTTTTTCTATTAATTTTAAAAGGGGGTTCCAACCGATAAACCCGCAAAACTGCAGCCAGCACGAAAGCTTCTGTGGAAAATTCAGAGCAAACCTATCGCATGTAGCCGAAACGTTCGTATTTTTTCGCAATGCATTCTTCTCTGGTACGACAGAAAAAGATACGAAATGACTTAAAACATGGATACTTTTCGGGTCGAACGTGGAGCCATGCGAAACCTATGATTAAGCAGGTATATACAGTCAAGTTCAATTAAACGCATCTAATTTTTCTGAAAATGGACACAGTCATGTAAAAATGGCAAATCCTCTAAAACATTGTCATTTTTGAATTTGCATATTATCCATTTACCTTTAGAATAAGAAGGCTTTGGCTACGTATAGTCTCAGCGCTTGTCAAAGCAGCATTTCACTTCATTCTGATAGTGAGTTTAATTTTTAGCTATCCAGATCCTTCTTAACAATTGGCAGCCTCGCCTACGTGAAAATAAAAATAATTTCGAAACAGTGAAATACCGCCTGGCTTGAGCGACAAGCCCATGATATGAGGTTTTAGGCCCTTAAACGTCATCTCTGTTTACGTTATTGTGCATGGCTTATTTATTTTTGCGAGTAGCTTATTAAAATCATAATGTACAATTCAATATATGCAAACAAGTCTAATAAAGCGGACATGCTTTGCACGAATAGCCTGACAACATCAAAAGAAATATAGCCGTATAAATAAAAACAGCCTAGCGGCATTTTCATACACTGTCAATCCAAAGTGTGGTTACCACACAACGATGTTCAAAGAAATTCTCATAAAGCTCTCACAACTGCAATGCCGTTCTTGGCATGAGGCAATCGCACCATACACAAGTAAAAGAACCTCGTAGCTAACTTTCTCGTCACCATCTGCCCGAAATATTTCAGCAGCTCATCGATAAAGTAAGTCTAATAAACATCGAGAAATTGAAAACAAATGGCGGGACAACGCTGTGTATCAAGAACAATACATGTTTACACATAAAAGTATAAAAAGTTGGTTTGGACATGCACAGCCCAAGGAAGCACAAACGGTACCACATATCTGCACATATCATAATTATCAGAGCATACCTGGAGCTGTTGGAATAAAATGATCCGTAGAGGAAATAGGAGGAGAACTTATGATATAGACAAGCCATGATAGACGGCTACTTTGTGTGATCTCTGAATTGTCTGCTATTCCTGACGAATTGCTACATGTATGCTTTGAACAATAGACAACACTGGGTTCATGTACACCAGCTCTGATGCATGATTATACGTTCTGTAGACCAGCTCTAATGCTACGATTTGATAAAACAGAGCTTCTCTTAGGTTATCAGCTACTAAGGTTAACGGCAATGGCCAAGACATGGACACGCAATTGTGTTCAATAGAAGGGAGTGAAAATCATATGTAATGATATGCTTATCGATATATTTTTTTCACATATCGTACTTGAATGTCGCACAATATTGTTAATCACTCCTGTGCACTCAACATTTATTAAGAGAGGTCCACAAATGCGAAATCAGACACTTCTTTAGCACCTTGCTACTCAAAGAAAAATAACTAGTAGCATTACTAGCCGGGCAAACCGACGTCGCCACTAACCGGCAACGACATACGTGTAAAAAAAAACCAAACGACTTTCTGTCATGATGCACTGCGGCTGCTGTTCGCTATCATGAAGCACGCCAGCCAGTACGGTGAAACGCTGTCACCACGAGACATAGTCAACACCCCGCGCTGCAACCCGCCAAAAAAAGCCGACAAGCGCTATGTAAGCGTTTTGTATCGAGCCAAGAACCCTTACACAAGAGCATAAGGCATTTATACCCCCACGATGTCGGCTGTTCACCATATAGCATTCGAATCGAACAGACAAAAAATCGGTACACACTACTGTATACCTGTGATGCAGTATTCTATTTTGTTTCCATGATCATTTTTTGGATCTCTTTGTTTCTTTTTAAAGATCCAGTAGAACACCAAAATGATCAACAATAACAGTGGCGATCTCAAAAACGAATATATGCGATCGCATCTAATTGCGTTACAAATAAAACCAGCATCACCGGCAGAATTAACTGTGATGACAAAAATAGCGCATAGAATACTAAAGTGAATGGAATTGTCCCGTGATCTAAACAATCAAGTGAGCACATGAAACATGATGATGAGAGCTATTAGCGAAAATGACCCATGGAACTCAAATCGGGCCAGAAATTTACACGAACTTATTGCAGCCATAGGCAGCAGAAGCGATAAAAAACGGAACAATAGTTTCTGAATATGTACGTGCTAATGTATCCAGTGGAAAGTAGGGGATTGTTAGCACACATGTACGCATCGAGCACGCGCAAAGATCTGTGTGTGTGTAAAATCATCTTTTATGTACATCGTGCGGCATCGATTATCGGGGCAACCTCGTACGGTAGGCATCAGGCGAACTACACAACAGCTGCAGCATCTGTGCTGAGAATTTCGCTACACTTTCTACTGGTTCTTTTGTTGTTTTTATATAGTACATATCTGCTCAAGAAAGTTTAGAAAAAAGAAAAACTTTTTCTATAATAATAATAATGATAACCATATATTCTTGCGCACGCACTCATAATTTGTTGTTATTGACGGATGTATAATATAGTGTACGTGTCTGGAACGACGATAACGAGCGATTTACACACATAAATGTGAAAACTGAACTTACGGCTTGTTTGGAACATTAAAAACGTCATCTCTTTGCTCTAAACATCGACCCCACTATATCTCCACTACTGAACCGCGGTGTACATGTTATAACATGATTCCTCTACGCCATTTTGAAACAATAGGATTCGTTTCGACAAATGTCAATTTTTCCTTGCTCTCCGTAGTAACAGAAACCACAGCCAGAATCACACCCAAAACAGATAATCGTTTGGAAATATATTCAAATCAATATAACGATAAATGGCAGGTTTCTTATTGAAAATAAAGCTTTTCACGTCTATTTTTCTTACGTAGCGACCGGCTGGGTCGCCCCGTTCCAAATTGAAGACCAACTCACGGCTTCCTCGCGATGCGGTCGTTTTCGGCGACGTTCATAGATTTCGCTCTCGGATCGAGAACTAGCGCTGGACGATCGAGATCTCGAACGTCTGTCGCGCTTGCTCCGTTTGCGATCCTTGTGGTTTTTTTTCGAACCCATCTTTCGCTGACGGTCAGTTATGCAGTATTAGTGACGGCGCTGTTTCTCTTAAGCACGTCTTGTGCTTATTCGTATATTCTGATATGTTTTCTTTCGTAGAAGACACTGGTGTCGATCCAACTGGCCACCGTTGGAACTCACAATAACAAACAACGAACCGCAAAAAGCAACAGCGATGTTCGAATCACAACACCAGCATACACAACACTACATCGACAAACTGGTATCCACGGGTAATATTGGCACTGAAAAGGAAAATACACAGGTAACTCGCACTAACTGAGCACATACTGGCCACAAAAAATAAACATGAAATTTTTACTCCTGTGGACCACGGACTCGATTGGTGCACAAGCACAACACCGTCGAGAGATAGATAAACGTCAGAATTCCGGCGATAAGCACGCACACACGTAAATTCCAAGAGTGCACACAGAACGGAAAGTTACACGGCAGTATTAAGTAGATGCTATTCTAATAAAATCTTCTGGGTAACTTCGGTTCGCAGAGAGCACTAAGCAAACACATAACAAACTCGTATAGTGGAAGGCACTCGACATCACAACACACATCTACCCGTCACAACATCGGGGAATTTTAGCGGTGCACGTAATGTATGGAAGCCGCTATAATTCATAGAAGTTAGGGTGCCTATAGTGCGGCACCTTTATCGAATCGGCCGAGAATTCACAGTTCGAGGCGCGATATCACTGAGCAGCATTGAGCGTCACGTAGACGCCTTCACGACGCGATTTTTTACGCCCCGACGAAAAATCACGTAAAAATTTGCAATTTCAATATCGGCCTCCGGAGCTGCCCAGCTACTCAGGGCCTGGCCCTGACGTATCGATAGGCTCTTAGAGTTCTATGAAAAAATAGAAACAACGCACAAAATTGAAAAATATAGAATTTTCACTTTTCTTGTAGCATAAACCTCACGCAGGCAAACAATGATCGTCGTTGGATCTGTCGTGTTTACAATCTTTTCAAGTTCAATGGCGCCATATTTGAATGAACTTCAATGCCTTCTCATACGCTCGGGCAGTTAGCTTCAAGTGTGCTTACTTGCATTATCTTTGCTGCGATATTAGTAAATGTTCAATCCAGCGAAGTTTATTAAGTTAAAATAGGTTGACAATTTCATACAACAGCATATTGTTATGTACCGTTTTGCGTATCCAACAACTACCGCCAACTAGTCCAAACTTGACGGAAGTTAGAAGATCGTTATTTTGAATGGGCCCTGGTAAGAAGAGGCCCAGGGGAAGCTTTTGCGCGAGACCGTTCTCTGATATTTACCGATAATTCGCCGGGCCAGGCAGTGCAAAACGCTCAGCACCAGCTCCCCATTTCGGCTTATCTACAAATTTGTAAGATTATCAGTTGCGCCTCTTTTAAGGCTCCTCTAGCGTTCGCTTTACGTGGTCGGTTTGAACACCTTCGGACGAACAGCTGTATTCAAGCAAAGATCTCTTATCACATATTGACCCTTACTTTTAATAGCACCGTTGCGACCCTAGAAAGTGCCTACCAATCTAGTTAGAACAGGAGTGGTTTCGTTGGGACGCTGCCTAATAATGTGCGGTAGCACTATAAAGTGCCAAGCCTTGATCCGCCCTTGTAGCGTTTGAAGACATGTCACCGTTGCGTTTAGTTGCAGATACCCTATCACTCTTCGGATCGGGTTGAGAGTGCGGGTGACATAGAAGAACGGCACTCGATAATGTGCAAGTGTGTTTAGTTCTGAAGTGTTCACGTGCTCGTGAAGCTCATATACCGCCAGTATAGTATAGTTGTGTAACAAGGATAATTGACGGTTGCTATACGCTCTGGGCTCATTCGCAGATTATGGACACCCCACCATGTATTTTTTAGTCTATCTATCTGTTCTATCCAACTTTTCTTATCTGCCAAGTCGCCCGACTCCACCAATCAGAGGACAATATCTTGCTGTTGTGATCACCCACGATGACTAGTCGATCGCTAGCGTTCATACAGCAACAGCATGACTCAACAGTAGTGTAGATGCGTTGTTTGTTATTTTCTAATCCGGACCATCCGAGAATAGTGCACTCGTTTAAAAATGATTATTTAGTCTCGTTCGCCCCTTCCACTTGTTAGGGCTCCTTTGCTATATTTAATAAGAATGGATGCATAGACTTGCTCATAGTACTTCGTAACACAGGTCCGCTCGAGTTCGATTAGTTCGATTGGCCTGTTAGGGTGCACACGCTATACCACGGTCACTGAGTAGGGGGGTGTTCTTGAAGGTTTTAATGTGTGCCTGTGACAAATAAAGAGAGATTGATATCTTTAATGTCACAACTTGACAATAACGCTCGCGTGTGTTCATAAAATTGCAAGGTGTTTTATTATCAGATTAATTACAGCATGTCGGCGGAGAGCTCAAGCGCTTCCGGAAACCTCTCGAAAGAGACTCCCGCTAACGGGACACATCGAGATTGTAGGAGCAGACAACGTTATGACTACAACGGTACGTTACCATCTCATGGAAGTGTGGGTAAAATTATTTCGAAAATGGAGCATATAAATGGGGGATGACAATGAAGACAGGTATATTTCGTGGGTTGGATCTAACCGTTTTATGTACATATTTTAATGGCCAGAAGTGTACTATGCAAAAAAGGTGTACTAGCGGCCTGCATACTATACAATTTTTGTGAATAAAAAGTGCTATTTATTCGTATGTTACGTACCGATAATTATTATTTCAACGTACTGGCAAATAGCGAACATCGAAAAAAGATAGGATTTGTCGTGATCATACTGTGGTAAAATAAAGCAGATTTCGTACGAATGAACCCAAGCGATCCAACATATTTCGATACGTATCAAGCTTATGTTATGAGTGCCTAAGCGGTTCGTGAAGATCTGCGTGGCGGATTGTGAAGCGCCAACAAAATTTTGCAAATGAATTTTCATGAAGTACGCGAATCTAACCTCATTCATGGGGTTGACCTATAAGGAGCATTTCCTAATCTTTTGCTGGTATTTTCCAACCCATTCAGTTTATATATATATTCTTGATTTTGAGAACAAGTGACATTTTATTATTCCGCCTGAAGTTTTTACTAATGATATTCAAGTAAAAAAACACCACCTTAGGTTTTCCATTTTCATTGTAAAGTAATGATATTAACAGTCATTAGCAATATGTTTTCTTTAACATACAAACAAATGATTATATTCATTCGATTATAACCGTAATACATATAAGTGTACATTCAAATTATTTTATTCCAAGTACTTATTACCAGCTCATTAACGATTTGCCATACTTACAAGCTTCTAACATTTCGCTAAGCCAAGGACAACCATCCAGATGAATGCACCTAAATTTAACCTTAAATTGGACAGGTATTTCCTCAGAAAAATCTGTACCGATAATGTCACAACCGTTGCTGCTCCTTTACCTTTCTTTAAAAAATTTTTTTGCTTTTTGCACAAAGGCCCGTATTTGGTTTGAAGTCGATCTAATAGATACCTACCTATCAGTGCTGCCAATGTGTAGTCTATGGGAACAACTGTAATTTGATTGATTATATATTCAGATGGTTGTATTTCAAAATAGCATATATAGTGTATATTAGCTTAATTTGTTTTTGTGTACAGAATTCACAATTGTGGATGTTGCTTCACTAGTTCTCTAGAGTACAAATGATACCAGGTAATATTTGCTGATCTAGTAAACCAGAAAGCCCTAAATTAGATGGATAATAGGACTGGTTCTCCTTATCAGAAAAAAATATTAAGTTGTGCCTATTTTTAGAAGACTGTTGTACAATATTTATCCTACAGAAGCTGCGCATTTCTTTACAGCACTCTTACTATTAATTATCAGGTTACCTTCTGCTCTACCGCGAATACTATACTTTGTACTATACATTTCGCATTAGACAAATTCTGTTTTCAAGTGTTAAAACACTATAAAAATAGACCTAATAAACCCGGTGAATGTCTTAATGGAGAGCTTTGATCGAAAAAGGCACTTAGAATAAACGTAATATATTTTTAAAATACCAGCCCCAAAGTAAGGGGAGACATAAAACTACCTTCGTCTAAACTACTTTTATCCGTCGATTTCGAGTCATTAAAAACGGATCATTTTCATTTCATGTCCGTCGGGGCTATCAGACCAATTGGATCGAGGGTGTTAATTTGATCGAGGGATTAATTATCAGGTTACCTTCTGCTCTACCACGAATACTATACTTTGTGGTATACATTTCGCATTAGACAAATTCTGTATTCAAGCGTTAAAACACTATAAAAATAGCCCTAATAGGCCCGGTGAATGTCTTAATGGAGAGCTTTGATCGAAAAAGGCGCTTAGAATAAACGCAATATATTTTTAAAATACCAGCCCCCAATGTAAGGGGAGACATAAAACTACCTTCGTCTAAACTACTTTTATCCGTCGATTTCGAGTCATTAAAAAGGGATCATTTTCATTTCATGTCCGTCGGGGCTATCAGACCAATTGGATCGAGGGTGTTAATTTGATCGAGGGATTAATTATCAGGTTACCTTCTGCTCTATCGCGAATACTATACTTTGTGGTATACATTTCGCATTAGACAAATTCTGTATTCAAGCGTTAAAACACTATAAAAATAGCCCTAATAGGCCCGGTGAATGTCTTAATGGAGAGCTTTGATCGAAAAAGGCGCTTAGAATAAACGTAATATATTTTTAAAATACCAGCCCCCAAAGTAAGGGGAGACATAAAACTACCTTCGTCTAAACTACTTTTATCCGTGGATTTCGAGTCATTAAAAAGGGATCATTTTCATTTCATGTCCGTCGGGGCTATCAGACCAATTGGATCGAGGGTGTAACTCCGCACTCCAATTGAGGCACGGTAATTTCTCGACGTCAGCCCGCCACCGAGAAGCAAGTCAAAATGATGACCGACTATGTGACCAAGGACGGAGCAGTCACCTAAATAAAAATTGGCGAGAGAACAGAGCAGGTACTACTAAATTTGCCGCAGATTTTATAAGAGGTCCTAGTGTCGGCGGCAGCGGTAGCAGCAATCGGCGTCTATTGACAAAACCTCGCGATCGGCTATTTGAGGATTACGTTAGGGAGCCAAACCAGCCGTCGTCACAGAAGGAAAAGCAACAACTGCCGTGCTCGCAAAAAGGACAACAACAGAACCAGCAACAACAACAACAACCACCACGTAGAGATAAACGAATGCAAAAGGACGAAAGTAACGATGAGGAAAATGCAACAACCAGTCGAGGTCATGTCAGAGACAGGCGAAGTGGAAGCTGTGCTGTACTTAGAGAAGCTGATGGCGCAAATGGAAATACTAGTTTCCAACATGGTTTCCAGCAGAGCGCACATTCGGATGTTGACTTAATCCAGCCGGTGTTAAGGTTAAATGTTCACGCGCAAGAATTTACCCCAGCGATGCGTGCGCCATCAGCACAAGGTGCTTGCGCGGCGACCCAGAATGACACCGGCGTTACAAAACGTACAGAGGCGAATGGAGATTTGGTCACATCAAATAGCAGGTTGGACGGCTTCAGTCAAAATGATGGTCGCGGGGACACGTCTGCTTCTGTGCCCCGGACGATTATGCTGGCCATGTCACAAGTCAGACGTGATCCGCCCCGATCAGTTGCAAGGAAACAACCAATAGAAGAGAGTAAAGCGCAAAAGGAGTCAATGGAGGAACAACTCCTAAAAGACATTTACGACTGTGTCATCTGTTGTAGCCGAATACGCGCAACACAGTCGATATGGAACTGCCAGGCTTGTTTTCATATTTTTCATCTACGTTGCATAGCTGAATGGGCCGAAACATCGCTGTCAGACGATAACAAAACCTGGCGGTGTCCGGCGTGTCAGGGCGAGAACAGCAAAGTGCCAAGGAACTACTGGTGTTTCTGTCGCAAACAGAAGAATCCCCAACCATCAAAGATGTCACTGCCCCATAGTTGTACTGAACTATGTCAGAAGTCACGATCCTGTCCGCACAAATGCAATAAACTTTGCCACCCGGGCCGATGTCCTCCGTGCGAAGCTAGCGTATCGAAGCCTTGTCAATGTGGGAAAACTAGCAAATACGTGAAGTGCAGCAGCAAAATTGCGCTTATTTGCGGGCAAGTCTGCGGAATGGTTTTATCATGCGCTAAGCACGAATGTCAAACAGTATGCCACCCCGGGGATTGCGAATCGTGTAAAGAGCTCAAGGATATTAGTTGTTTCTGTGGGAAGAACACGAAGCAAGTGTTATGCGCTGAGCCCAATGATTACAGCTGCGATCAAATCTGTAAACAAATGTTGTCCTGTGGTAATCATCACTGTGAGAAGACATGTCATCGTAACGGTGAATGCGGTGAATGTCAGTTATCTTTGTTGAAGTCATGCCCTTGTGGTCGAAGCTCTATACCTAATGGTTGGGATTGTTCGAAGCCAGTGCCCTTGTGCGATGCCAAATGTGGACGTAAATTTCAAGATTGCGAACATCTTTGCGAGCAGAAATGTCACGAGGGAGATTGTCCCCCATGCCCTGCTCTTGTGAAAGGGTTGGTTTTATTAAACTTTACATTGTTTCTAGTTTGTTAGATAGCTAAACAGTTCGAACGTGGCCGAGTTCTCTGTGCAGGTTTTACAAGCAAAGTATATATTTTCAAGCGGTTCCGTCAGCAAAATATCTTTTTGCAGAATATAGATGAAAGTACAATGGTTTAGGAACTCACTAAGTTGCAATTTCATTGACTAGACGTGTCAAATAGCCAGGCACATGAAAACTGAAATTCTTACTTCGCTATTAGTTTATATAGAATATGGTATTAAGAATTTTTGTAATTGACTGCAGTCTTTTTAACGCTCATTCGAAGCATCGACAAGAAAAATGATTGCTTATAATTCAGCAGTTATAGAGGGTGTTTAAGTCGCAATTTTAGATTTTCATTGCATTTTAAAAGCGGGTTACGCGTATACAGTTCATAAAAAATTTCAATAGAATAATGTCATTCAATAACAATGTTAAACGAATCAAATGTATTTCATATTAAGGGTCGACAAGCAGACGACTCTTATCAAACATTGAGAATAGAAGTTCCCATAAAAAACTTATTTGAATGTAGAGCAATATCAGTCGAGTAGAGGTTTTTCTCAAAAAATATTACTTCATTAAATCTAGCTTCTACTAAACATAAGTAGGATTTTCGAGCAAGTTTGTTTTCATGAAACGTTAGCTATATTAGAATTAAGCGACAAGAGCAATTTCTCAGTTCAAATGGAAGCGCCATGTGTTTTTTCATGTGGGTGGTTAGCTTCGCTCAAATGCATGTGGTACCAAAAAATAGCTTCAGCTCATTAAGTCAATTCTAGACATTTATTGAATAGCACCCTTAAATATTATAGTCGTTGTTATGCAGGAGGCGATGTCGATGTGGCGCGGTTGTAGAAGAGGCTGAGTGTGGCGAGAAAGTGCTTGTTTGTCGAAGGCGTTGCAATAAGAAAAAAACCTGTGGACGGCATAAATGCCTCGATGAGTGTTGTGACAAGGAGTTCCACATCTGCGATCTTGTCTGCGGAAAAAAACTCTCTTGCGGTATCCATTCATGTTTTACTCTTTGTCACAAAGGAATATGTCGTAAATGCCAACACGTCAGTAAGTATCATTTATATTTTACGCATTTTGTTACTTTCTGACTACCTTTCTATGACTCCAATTTGGATTTACTAGTCACCGCTGAAATTAATTTAAAAATTAAAACTATTGAGCAACCTTTGGCGAATATATCGTTAATTATATCTAGATTATTATATAGCTAATTCACCTGAATGCTACAAGGAATTTCGGGTCAAGTGTGCCAAGGAGCGTATATATGTGTTGCGAATAGGCGAATTTGTGTGAATAGGAAAATTTATTTACTTATTGTTTATATGTAAATAATATCAACAGTTGAGGCGGTTCTTTTTGACACTACTGGACGTGAAACTCAAAACGTTTATAAATATCAATAAAACAATGTTAACGTTACATATAACCACTAAGCCACGAAGAATATAGAAAACATCTACGTTTTGATTTCTTGAAATAGATTTACGCTTTAAATTGTCTAAAAAAATCGTGTGCAAAATAGCTGCGATTATTCCACGGAATAGAAATACTGTTAACAATGATTTTGCTTCTGCTTTGCAGAAGGGTACTTTATGTCAAAATTTCGAGAAATAAAACACAGGTGAAGAATGTACGATCCGCACGACGTGGTTCCTGTTTCTTACAATATTCAATGTAATTATTATATTTTGGACGACATGTTTTTAGGCTTCGACGAGCTACGTTGTCACTGCGGACATTCGGTGGTGTACCCGCCAGTGCCTTGCAACACTCCGGTTCCGGAATGCAAACAGCTGTGCGCACGCGAGCATCGGTGCCGGCATCCGGTGACTCATCCGTGCCATTCAGAGCCGGTATGTCCTCCATGCACCTCACTAACAGAGAAGAAATGCCATGGTGGGCACGAACTTCGAAGAAATATACCTTGCCATCTTGATGTAAGTTGCAGCCTACTCAACATAAAGTATGTCGTTGTTCTGCAACGACCGAAAGAAAAGAACAATAACTTATGCAGCACAATGAAAACGTATTTTCGTCTTTTAAACTTTGTAGAGAAAAATATTCGTTTTACTAACAATGCTCTCGGTTTATCTGAAGCTATGAATTTAAATACATATTAACATTACATGTTATAACGTCGTAGCTAAGCTCAGCTGAAATGTTAAGTCAGGTTTTGAACGTGTTCATCTTATGCATTTCTTTCGAACAGAACGTTTCATGTGGACGCCCTTGTGGACGGCCTCTGTCATGTGGTAGACATTCGTGTGACAAAACGTGCCACGCAGGTGAATGCCCGACCTCATGCGAACAACCCTGCAAGGTGCCTCGAAAATGTGGACACCCTTGTAAACTGCCATGTCACGACGAATGCCCGACGAGCACATGTTTCACACAGGTATCCCTACTTTATAAATATGTATATAATTTTTTTATTGATATGTAAGTATAAAGTACCTTAAATGCAGCGAAAGAGCGGATTCGGATTGAAGCGGCTATTTCATCTTTTCTGCTGTTGCATGCGGTCGAGTTTTGAAATCTATAAAAAAAAAAGTTTCTTAGCTCTTCGTAAAAATCCATTAATGGTTTTTTGCAGAAACCTATTGATATTGCAAACCGAATCTATCTTAAAGCTTTCATACCTTACAACAATACACATTTGTAATAATACATTTGTTAACGGATTGATATGATTCAGGTTGAAGTGTCATGTACATGTGGACGGTTAGTAGAACCGCGCACCTGCCATGAGTTCCAACAAGCAGTCAGCAGTATAGTGCAACAAAAAGTTCGCCGAGGTGAGGAAGTCAACCTCGCTAAAGACCTCAGCCAGGTACGACAACACGTGCTTCGGAATGTAGCATATTTCCTCTCTGTAGGTAATGTTTATTGTTACTTGACCTTGAAGGGGATGAAAATGGTAACTATGGGAATGGCGGTATGGTTTAACTGTTATCTTCCTTTCTTTCCAAACGTCGTGCATTACAAAAGCAGTTACTATATTTTAGTTGTTCACAAAATATGAGCTTTTAAAAAATATACATCTCGAGACCACGGATAAATGTTTGATCGTAGAGTAGATAGAAATAAGAAAATAACCCACCTCTGAAAATTATTTCCGCGTATCTCTAACATTCCGTTTGAAACTTGTTTTTGTCCCTTGATTATTAGCTTTCTAAGGGTATCCTGAAGTGTGTAGAAAGATGTGCAGTAGAGGAGCGAAATCGGCGTTTTGCGGAAGCTCTTAAAATTAATCCAGATGCGCCCGTATTCACCTTATCGCTTTACTCAGATTTTGTTAAGGAAGAAGCAAGGAAAAACTGGCACTTTGCGTCAAAAGTTGTCAACAAACTTAACGATCTTGTGGAACTTGCAAAAAATGTGAGTGCTTTTTTCTCCTAGGTAATATTGTTAGATCAGTCATATATGTAGTACAGTTATGTTACTGTTCAATTTTCAGTACCGAGACTCGTAACCAATTGCAATGCAATTAATCATTGTACAAAACTAGAATGCCTTAAATAATCTGTTTTTTAATTATATGGTTTCATTTCATCTGTCTTACTGATCTATCTCTAGACACACATAACGGACGAACCTGACTGTTTTGCTCATTTTTCATACGTGTTCGCCTATACGCATTCGTTACTGCATTTTACCAACTGGTCGGTTACCAGCTTTCGTTTCAGACGACATGAAAAAATGTCCTTCCTGTCGTTTCCTTAGTGAGCGTGTCATCTTGACCGTTGCGAAGGTTACTTTTAGCTCCCCGCATTTGCTTTACTACTTAGCCTGTGTGCTGAAAACAATGACGTGTTTCCGTGGGCTTTAGCCCACAAGGGCTTCCTTATTGTCCTCCTTTTCTAGAAACTCCATCTCACTTCATAAATCAACACAACAAGGCTTTGGAGTGATTCACGTTACAGACCATCAGGCATACATCGGTTTTAGTGTTATGTACCCCTGAAGTAATAATAGAATTCGTCCCAAACCAGGGCTCATACAAATGGGGTCCCGAGTTTAGTGCATGGGTCCTCCAACACCAGACGGATACCTTATTAGGGGTGAAATTGGATATTTTTGGATATAATTCGTTAGCCCGTCACCTTTTTAAAAAAGGCATTATGTATCAGATAAGTAGATTGGCTAATTAGACGACAACCTTAGTAACTCGTTCAAGCAAGTGAAACTTTAAGCGTTCGGCTGCATAAACTTGTACTGTCTGGTTCAAACCGTCATGTGCGCGGACTCTTTTGGCGGCATAAGTGAACCGCAACATACTGCTTGCGAGATTTCGTACTTCATAGGCATAACGAATACAGTACTGCAAGCAAGCAAGCGACGTTCTGATTCCTTGCGAGCAGATTTTCGACTTAGAATATCTTAGCAGTTCGTACTTTAAAAAATATTATTGACGTTGATACTCGCAGTACTAATAATTTGCCAACGAAATTTTAGGTTTATACACGTATCTTAATCCGTCACTCTCAAGTATGTGTGCTACGGAGTAAAATTCAATAAAATCGTCTGCTGGCGCGTATTTTATATGCTGGAATAGCTTTTGCTATTATATGTATATAGCTTCACCAAATAGAATTGCTTAGCTAGCTGTTGCTAGGCGCCTAGCGATAACTGATTATTAAAGAAATCGTCAATAAAGGAAGTATTCGCATAGCATCGTTTATAAATAAATAAAAGGCACAGTAATGATCATACTGCTGGATGTGACTAGTATTTTCCGAAAGTGTGATCGCAATTGAAACTATTTTTTAATTCTTTTACGTTATGCTCCTCAGTCTGTACAAGCAAGTCGATCTTACGGATTTGAACCGATGCCTCGTGAGCAACGCCGCTTTATATATGAGCTCCTCGAAGTGTATCGCTGCACTGGACAAAGCTATGACCAGGAACCGAAAAGAAATATCGTGGTAACAGCTTACAAGTGAGTTTTCAATTATGCAGTAACTGCTCTGTCATGGTTTTATAATCACTGTATCCTTGGTACTGTGTATTACATTCTTATGTTATGACAAAGCCTACGTTATTTGTGGTACCATTCTGACCAATATCGGGTTCCTCTCTAGGGATAAATCTGTTATTCCGTCAATGAGCCTGGCAAGTGCGATTGGAATTGTCAACCCCATCCCTTTGTGGAAGATGTAATGTGATGGCCGATGATTCACCACTACCACAACTACGGTCACAGTCTGTCGTAAGCCGATAATAATAATCTTTACGCTAATCATAATCTTAAGACGAAAAATATAGATGTATAGCACACAAAGATGATTAAAGTGTTTCACAGCAATTAGTAGAAGAGCACGGCATATGGACGCGCATATGTCCATGTCAATTCACAGTAATTATGCTGTTATTCCTTACTAATAATAAAATGAAAAAAGATGTAATTTGGTAATATTGACTGGCATGTTTAATCGATAATAGTTAGTCCTCAAATGGCGAAAACGAGATGAATCCTTGTAAGTGTCACCAGTTACTGGACGATCCAAGTATTGGCTTTAAGCACCGGACAATGAACACGAAAATCTTTTCTATTTTAATGATATATAGGCATTCCTGCTATTTTTTGCAGCTACGGAAAAAGGTGTTAGCTAAATTGAACGTACTGTTAATATTTTAGGTTGTTCGAGAAGTAATGGCGGTTTTATGTCTCACTTTGTTTTTTTCGCTCTTTGTTGATACTCAAGTATGGTGTACGGCTCTTTACTTGCTAAAAACCGTTGTCGGATTATAAAAATTTACCGTGAATATAGACTCCGAAGTAAGATCGGTTTAACGATATTTAACATTTGACCAGTAAAAAACAGACAATTAAAAAAAGCGAAGCGATAGAAAAAATTATCATAATTTTCAGAACAGCCTAACACATTATATTATAAACTGTTTGAAGAGACATTCACGTCATGTAAACAAAGACCCGGTGCTCTCTACCTGACAACAAAGTCGTCAGCTCTTTGTTAATGCATTTCTGCATGATGCTATTTCGTATCAGGTTCTTCCATTTCTTATCTTCCAAATAAATTCGCAATGTTTTAGAGACACTTCCCTTGCTTTTTTATTATTAATTGACTTTAAAATTTCTAGCTGTTATTATAAAAGCTTTTCTTCATGAATAACTTTTGTAGGCGAATGAACTACAAGTGAGTGACCTGGCTATCGAAAGATTGTGACACTCGGTTAATTGCTGTTGAAGCAGACGTTTCGTCACAGTATCGCTTGTGTTCAGTGTCAAAATCCCTATTATGCCGGTGAAAAATATCCTTACTAGTAGATTTCGTCATGTGGCCTCTTCTTGACACATTCCTATTCATGTCGAAAATCATGCATACAACAGAGAACCTTGCCGATTCGCTAATTTTTTACGTCCTAATCCATTCAAAGTTAAATGTAACAACGCATGTTCTACGGCATACACAGATTATTTTTTGCTGGGGCTGGACGTCCTTCAAAGCTGCTACCTTCTTCGTAGGCTCTGAAATCAAGAGTCTCTTTCAATGTTTGAATTCCAGACAAATACAAGTAAAACTACATCTCAGAAAGTTGCCCCGTAGGCTACTAATGGCAGTACACAGCCCGCAAACCTATCCTTTCCAAGACGCTATTCCTACCCTTCAATTAAATGATAGATTTGCTAAAAATTATTTTTCGTATGATGTCGACAATTTTTAATGCGAACTCCATATTTCTTCCGCGAGTCCAGTTTTACATGTAGTCAATTTGCTTGTAGAAAAACTGAGTCGCTGCATCGCATGCTACATGCATCCCGCACTATAATCCTTATATAAGTCTCTAGTAGAAATTTTTGCAGCCTAACATTGGTCCTTTTCAGTAGCTTCTCAGTTCTCTGCGGAATTCCCGGAAACGGTCGTCGTTTTGTCTTAAAATGTAGCGAATGTGACGCATTCTGCGAAGTTCCAGGAATCCTGTGATCATTTTTAGTAAAAGCTATACTAACAAATCATATGCAAACGAATTCGTCGAGAAAAATGCCGGATAAAAAGGAGCCGCGGAAGATTATTTTCTGTACATTATGTGTACTTTAAAACATAGGTAAAAAGAGTTTCATCTTCTTATGCTTATAGTGCAGCACACACACCGCAGTGAGGCTCAAAGCAGTACTTGAATGGCTTATCCTTTTACACGCGATTCGACAAAATCCGTAACATCACTCTTTTACAAATAAATGCGCTTACTCAACTAAAAAGGGAAACAGCCGTACGTTTACAATTTTTTTAATTGCTTAGAGGGATTGGAGAACAACCGATTAAGCATATAGAGATACGCAATAGAAACTATCATTCAGCACTTTTGCCCAATATCGACTGTTAGCGTCAATGTAACTTGTTTACTGTTCCTTTATTCTATTCTGCCTTTTTTTGTTGCCATCCCGCTCCATCCTGGGCGTATTTGGCTCTAGTACTAACCTGCATTTTTTGCTTGTTCAACTCTACCCACTGTTGGATCTTGTTGCTGTCTTGTATGGGTATCTAAATTTCTTTTGATTTACTGCTGTTATCTTACATATGTGAGGCTAAGCGATGCTTTAAAAAACTTCTCTAAACTTCAGTAAAAACCTGAAGACTAAAATAGTTAAATGGAGCCTTTGCCCTCAAATCCTTTTTCATGTTTTGCAAATAGGTAGGTTTCCTTACAAGTTCTTTATTTTATATTCGCCTGGACAAGAGTTTTTTTTTCTTATCATGATACCACTCCCTTAAATTGCTCATGCCACCATCATCACCATGTGTTTTTGTTTTTTCTACAACGATTTTCAGTATCGTGCTCGACAATTCATTTATTGTTGCTAGTGGTTTTCGTACAACACTCTTTATTAAGAGTCTATATATTTATTTACCAACGCAGCGATCTCTTATAAACTTTTTGTAGACAATAATTTTAATCCAATTGAACGACCTATTAGACATTTAATATTTCATTCCTGTTTTACGTTTTATTTATCATCCTTGGCCTATATATATATATATATATATATATAGCCCATTTTCATGTGAAGTACAGCCATTCCTCGGCAAGGTATTATATATCTTGCTACACCTGACCATTATTATCGTTTATATCCTCCAATATCTACAAACCGTTTATCGACGTTAGCAAACGACCTATTTGCCATTTCTACCGTACCATCGTTCACACCGCGTCATTATTATTATTATATTATTGTTATTATTAATAATAATTCTTATCTCGCATCTGTATTCAGCACTACGTAGATAGCTCACGTACTGCTACCTATAATTATTCATTAATAAAATGACATCAGTCAATAAGAACATTGTCATAGGTATCACCTCGCAGACCAAATCAATCACCTTCAAAGCCATCGTCTCCTTACCTCTTTCGCGATTGAATCCTTACCGTGTCATGCGTGCTGCAGAAGTATTATCACATTGGAGAGTAATCTTACGACAGTCATAATAAGCAGCAATGATAATTATGATGCTCAAATTAATAGCAGTGTGCAGATCTATCCGAGGGAAAAGTGGATTTATGTTTCATATACTTTTCATTTCTCTTCTGTACATTATTGTGTGTATTGTTGAAATGCCCAAATATACTATAAAAGATGCGCTATTAGAAGTTATGGGAACAAACGAAATCACATTTTTTACACGTTTTGTTAATTTGAAACACTCAAAGGAGGACGCGACTACCAAGCTATAAATGATCGGAACTTTATCAGGGAGGGCTTTAGCGGAGAACTTCTAGAGACTCTACGAAGACTCTGTCAAGGAGACAGAAAACGTGTCAGGGCGTAGAGCCGCCGAGCAGCTGCTTATAGAACGACTATATACTATTTATGTATTTCTTAGGCGCTTCTTTACGAAAAACCTTCCTGTGCTTGTTTTGCGTTCATTTTTATCTACTCTCAAGTGTGTGTGTATGTGAGTGTCATGTATTTGTAGGTGCTGCTGTTGCATTATATCATACTGATGATCTAGTGTAATTACGGTTCATTCACCAAACATTATGAGACTATCTCTACCACGATCTATATTAATGATGATGGTAATTGATTAATGATTATCAATAGACTCGGAAGTTAAAAATGGTTTTGGAGCCATAGCATCACACTAGCCCGTGAAAACAAGAACAGGAGGCGTATGGGGCACAATTTCGATCGGTGATTTCAACCCCCGCCACAAAATATCTGTCTTCGTTGCGCTAAATATATCGACGAAACAGTTAGCCGTGACCGCCAAACACTACCTGCGGAGTGGTGATGGGAGAGAAAGATAGATTGTTCTGTTCTAGCGTACCACGCTATTCGCAGTACAATCGACATCACTACCATGATCATCACCAACATAATCACCACCACTATTATTGTCAAAAATCTTTGCTCTGGCTACTATCGTTTTTGCGAGCATTCTTCTGCCTGTGGTCATATGGTTTCCTTTATGAATGATATCAGATTCGGCTGGTTCCCGTTTTCCCACTCTTCTCCTTAAGAACTTTCTGAGGCAGAAAAGGCAGATGTTTGTGGTTAGTCTTGTTTGGACCAGGCTGGCTCGAAAAAAAAACCCGTCCATCCTCTGCTCATTATAAACAGTCTGCTTTGACTTATGTTCGATACTAGCATTGCTTGAACAACATCACGCTTTGGCGTCTCCGACAACGACAGCGGCAATGATTGGCATTTTTTCTGACATCTGCATCATGACGCCGAAGAACCCGGACAATTAAATGTTTTTTAAGGCCAGACTTGTTTCTCAATGGCTTCGGAAGGGTTCACGATTCGCCGTTACCCGAATCATCGCTTCCGTTATCTTGGTCTTCGTCACCTGCCTCATCGTCGTCTTCGTCATAGTCGTCATAATCGTCGTCATAGAAATCACAATCGGGGACATCCTGTCTGTGATGACTGCTTCCGCCGCCGTGTCCATGGCCGGGTGCCCGCCACGTTGCGACGTACTCTTCAATGGTGGTTGGAACCTTGACATTGTCACGGGCCGCCTCAACCTGGGTGTCGGCCACCAGTTTTCTGTAAATGGATGATGCAATATCGGTAAACACATGTTACGTATATTGATTTAATAAAGGCCCAACTTGATGTTGTGGGTTTCCTTCTCTTACTCACTATCGCTATTCCCTAATAACAATCGTATAGTAATAAAAAAAAAATAGGTAGTAATCAAAGTCGTACAACGTTTATAGGATAATTAGTCCTAGTCAGTGGATCTACTGAAAGTTTAACAGCATTTTATAGACTTTAAAAAACTGAACAGCAGTCTCATTATCTGTATTGTAAACTCTCAGTTTCATTGTATATAGATCAGATAATACTGAATATTTCTTGCTATCTACTGACAGACTTCAGATCTACTTTACCGGTCAAACGCCGGGGCCGAAATTGAAGGAAAGTAAAGTGAACTTTTACTAACCGAACGTATTCTTCGTACTCTTTATTTTCCCCATTGCTTTCTTTCCACCGACGATACATCACAGAAGCGTCCACATTTGCAGGCGAGAACGTATTGGGCTCATTTAACAATGATATTACGGATAGTAGAACAGTCCTGTAAAAGTTACTTCATCAAGTTAGTGCTACCCTTCAAACTTCCACTAGATAATATGAGCCGGCAAGAAATCAAAGCAGAGAGCATAAGTGGTACAACTTGTTTACAACGAACGCGTTCTTGTTCTCTAAATTTGCAAACAGAACAGTCAACGATGCTCTAAGGCTCTTTGATGACATAATATATTTGAGCAAATTACCTGGTGATGGTAGAATGTAAGCCTAATTAAGTTGTAATCACGATGAAAATCTTATCTATGAGCAATTATAATATTAATATTAAATTGTTGAAAAAGTATTGAACATTTTTCTCGCTAGATGGCTTTAGAATTATATATCTCAGATAATATAGTGGTGCGGGTTGGCGTTGATATTATTTGAAAGTTTAGATCCATCTTATTGTTGTGATGCCCTTATTAGACTTAAGACGGAGCGCCTTAGAAATAAGTGATTTTACTGCATTATTAAAATATAAGCATCAATGGAAAAAATTGCACAGCTTACGCTTAAATGCAAAAAAAAAGGTTGTTCTGTCGTTTTTGTTTTGAAAATTTCGTTGTGAAAAATGCGATGGTCGACTAGGCACAGAAAATGTCAATGAAATTGTTGCGAAACTTAACCAAGATCGACGAGTGACTAGCTGTAAAATCGTCAAAGAACTACAGATCTAGTACTAAACAGTTTTGCACTATTTGACGAAACCTTCAAAGGCTTCAAAAGAAAACAGTGTTTTTGTGCTACACAAATTGGCGCAAGATAATTCCGTCTGAGAAACCCTACAGAAACGCAAGTAAACCTGTTCTGAAGCGGTTGATTACTAGTGATGAAAGGTGAATTAAATACGATAGTAATGCGCAAATGACAAAAACTTGAAAATGTGTACAGACTGACGTCAAACAAAGTAATGCCATGTGTAGGGATAGAACCGAAAAAGATCGTACATTATTCCTATCCATATCGTCTGCTCCAGTCTCTGCAAGGCTCTTTTAATGCTGTTAATTTAGTTTTAATGGAAAAATACAAAAATTTCTTGTCACAATTGTTTGCTCAGAAACCATGGTAGATCCATAATGGTGGAATTATAATGTTATCAGAAAAATAAGCAGAAAACCATTGATAAAAATTTTATTTGGCGTTCTACTGGCGCATATTTTGATTAGCCATATTATTTTAAATAACAATATTTGCTTCGATTTTAGTAAGTAAATAAATATAATAATATAGTAAAAACAATAAAACGATCAATACTTTTTCATAATCCAATACTCCAATCGATAAAGTTTACGTCTTGGCACGCCTTGAGAGTTCCTTTTTATGAAGCAGTTCATAAAGATTTACGGACCTGACATTCTGAGTGGGATTCCACCTCTCCGAAGGCAGTTCGCCAGACTGCGGATCATCAACGGGTGGATGAAGAATGGAAATGCAGAGATCACCATTTTCATAAACATTCGGGTGCCACAACCTCGTTAAGAATCGAACAGAAGGAGGCGAGTATGGGTAATCGCCTGGGAACTTCATTAACAACTGCAAATATACAACCACAACGGCACACATCGCGTGATTTTAAAGTTAGAGACAATACTTAAGGATTAATCAGATACGGCCACTAAATATATATTATTAGAGTCTGATTATAGTTTCGTAGTACTAACGTGAATACTGCTATGACTACCGCTCTACTGATAACTTGCAAATACGTGCTATCGTTACGACTATCAGCAATAAGGTAGAGACGTTTCGGTATCGTAAAAAAAACACATCTTTTACTAACCGTATCTAGGTTATATGAGCCAACTCCGTCCGTTAACTGTAGCTCACACATTTGCACGCGGAAAATGGTGAAAAAAGAAATGAATTCCTTTAATAGCAACAGTAAGCATAGCGCTTCAGGATCTTGTCTTCTATAGGTTAAAAAACAACGTCTAACATCATCGAAGTACAGCTGTACATAATCGCATCGACAGATGTATAAGGTATGACAGTAATGGCGGTGATGACAAAACAACGATTGCTAATTTTAAATTTATTTAAAGCGAAAGCGATTTAAAAAATATGTCTTCCTTTGGCATACAGTTCACACATTTCACAAAAAAATACACAAGACTATACCTATACTGAAGCTTTCCTTTGTTATTCTAGGTCAGCCTTTGTATCGATCTGGACACATGAACAAGGCATCAAAACCCTAGAGCTTATTTATCACCTTGGCACCTCTGGCGTTTCTCCTTCGCTGCTTTTTTTCGCTAACTTTAGGTAAGCAATAGTGTTACAATGACCAGAAAAAGTTCGTATTAAACTTCTATATTTAACTCACTTTGATGTGCATCGTGAATCTATGTCGCATTCAGTAGCGCTGACCTATATTACAGATTATGAAATTGGAAAGGAATTCTTATGTCCTCATGCTATACTACCAATATCTAAACAAAATTAAAGCTGCGCAAATTTATATGTTTACTCGCTTTCGATATTTTCAACATTATTCTTTTTCTCTCTGTGTTTTTCTGGAGATGAACTCTTCGTTCAGTAGTAATGATTTATTTACATGACATGTTTTTACGTCAGTAACCTATTGAGGTATGATGAAAGTGTTCAATGATGACGCATTTAAAACGCAGCAGAAACGCGAAGACAAAAATACTTTAACTTCGATAATATCACTATCAAATAGGTACTAGATGCACACTTGGAACGAAAGGTTTTTGATGCTATACCGAAGAAGTGATTTAGAGAATTTGCTCCCACAGAAGCAACAGTAAGGGGCATTAAAAAAAAACAAATTTAACAAATCCTCACGTAAGAAAAGGCAATTCATTTACTTTCTCAAACTAAAAGAGGTAAAGAATAATATCACTTGTATATAGAGTGATACATAGCGTGTCTATAAAAAAGAACTTAAGTAAAACTCATACGATAGAAAAATGTACGATGTATTTTTGTCGTCAAAAAAAGGCTTCTTCTAACCGTTTCCTATACCGTTCAAGCGGCCCTTTACCTGATTAAAAAAGCTTCAAGTGCGAGTGAAACATATCAAGGGCTAGTTTCATTTATGGAGCTCTTTCAGACATAACCTAGTGCACCGATGCAGTCAGACGACACGCTACTGGCTTGAATAATACTGAAATGTTTGTGAATGGTCTGTACTATGATTTACCTTGCATGTAAGATATTCATGATGTCTCTGCCTGATCGTAGTTTAGCTCAGACTATGTAAAATAACCCAGCTCACAATGGCACTATTGAGTACTGTTGGCGGGTACAATGGCGAATTAACGAACTAGATTGATAAGGAAAAAATACATAACAATATTTCTATAGGCATGTGTTGTATATTCAAGGTAATAAAGACTATTTGTTAAAAAAAGAAGAAACTTGTGTCAATTGCATTTATTTTGTTACCACAAAATGTATCTGGTTGGGTCCACGGTATATACACTATACATAATATGCGTAAAAACCATTTCACTTTTTTAATCTCATTTGTCTTCTCCTGCTAATCAGGCACTGGTTTGTACCATTGTACCTAGCTAGAAGGTTGACGTTTTCACCCCACAATGGATGACTGCTACGGAAAACTTTAAAACCCTCAAAGCGTAGCTTCGGTGCGTGATGTCACTTGGAAATCAAAACATAGTTAGTTAACGGGTGTTCCTTACAGGTTCCCGGGAGAAGTTCGATTATGCGAAGGGTAGGAAAGCGACACCTTGGTTACCTTGCGTCGAACACTGAATACAATTATTATGTGACCAAAAAAATTAACACGTGTATTTTCTCACTCTTAACATAGCATACGCTTCTGGAGTTCCTCAACTAAGTGCGTAATCAGAGTATTATCTACATCCAGTAACGTTTTATATAATGCTGATTTTTGTAATTCAAAGTACTTCAATATAATAGCTGAAACACAAACTGTATCTAATCAGATGTCTACTATGTGTTCGTATGTATTGTCTATTGCTTTCTGACTCCAAATTAAGCCACCATTCCAACTATTTGCGAAGATTTTTTATCCTAGCGGACGTTTCGGCTCTATTTACGTACGTCCATTCCATGTTTTTTTACTTAGACAGTTAGTTCGAATGCAATGCTTTGGTAAACTAGATAGTCTTGGTGGCTAGCTCGGTGGACGACCCAAGTCCGCCAACAGGTTTCTATAAATATTAACAATCATCCTAAACGGTATAAAGGTCTAGCTTGTATTAAATTATCAAACTGGTTTAAAAAACGTTTGCCTGCAAGTGAATACGCGTTCTCAGTGGGTTGACAAGACGATCAGCCTTACTGAGTGTTTACACGAGGTTCCTATAAAAATTTGCAGACAGGAACAGGCGCTTCACTCGTAGTGTCGAGCTTTCTATCTGACAGACGTGGATAATCGCTTAGGTCCTGAATTCGCTAGCTCTTTGTTAACGAAAAGCAAGTAAAATTAAGCAACAGACCTATAGCAGCAGCAATAACGTTGAGTTCACTTATTCACTCGCGTTTCAAATACACAATATATGTATATATGCACAGTATATACACAATATATGTGTAGGTATATATATGCACTTAACAGTGTTGGTCCTTAACGTAACTATAACAGCAGCAACGGCCGCAGGCGGCTTTCGCGCCATTGATGGAAACAAAGATACTCCTCGATGGCCAACACCGAGTCATCATCGACATTCGAGGTAGCAAGCTGTCAATCAGCAACATTTCGTTCCAAGCGACGGAATAAACGTCACATTCCATCTAGTGGGCAAAGCCACCTAAAGACACGCAAAATAACTGAGCACAGTTCACGCACTTAGTCGACTATTGGGACCACGCAGCGTAACAACGCAATGACAACAAGTCCATTCGGTCACTAGGTTACAAGCTTAATAATCGTATGATCGGCGATAAAAATATAGACCCGTAGCAAAGCAGCAGGTTGAAGACGGGGGAGGAGCTAAGATGGCGCGATGAGGTTTTCTCGTAGTACTAGGGTCAACAATGAAACAATATGATAGCATTCAATAGATAGATTGATCGTTTAGTCATTAACACCGATATTACCGATTCTCGATGCTGGTGATGAGGGTAACAAGGTGAATATCTTCTACTGTTTCGATACATAATATTGATATGTTTATATTACGATAACTTCTAGACTAAATACCAGTCGTCACCGTAACTCAACCGCCGTAAATGAGACTGCCATATTCTTGTCTACAAATTTTGTTGGTACTAAAGCAACAGAGAGCCTACCAAAAGCTTTGATCCACACGAAGTTCGCACTTTCTTATTTGCGGAACTTTGTCGCTAACAGATCAACTGCATGGTAACGAATACACAATGAGGATCAAACGTATGCTGCCTGGCTATATCCGAAAGACTCTGCCCATTATGACCATAGTAGTCGTTTCCGCGACAAAAACCCACGCAGTTCGCTAAAGAGGCCTTCATTATCGATCTATCCTAATTGTGATCAACTGCAATTCATTTGAAGAGTAAGCTGTTGACTTGGGTCAAAGTTGACAAAAGCTCGTTGATTCCGCTAAACCATCTCTTATTCGTGAACCTGGTCACAGGATCGAGGAGTCTTCTTTCGACATGGAAGTACCCCTGTTATCTGCATCAACCCGCTAACGTACAAAACAAATTCACTCTGTCCGAGAAGAAGATTTGGCCATACGAATAGAGAAATATTTAGTGGGGTGATGATAAACATCTTTAGACGCGTCCGATATCATGTTAGGCAACATTCTTATTTTTCATTTCAGGAGTTTATTTTTCATTGCTACCGATGTAAGCTAGGTAGTTATAATGTATTATAAAGAAGTTGCACAGATGGAGTACTTAACAAATCCATAATTCTGTATGTCGGCTTTAAGCTAATTAGTGATGTCAATGGTGACGACCAAAGCATATAAGTTTTTTATTATTATTGTTATTATGTGTTAGATCTCAACACATAATGACCACGATTAATTTCGCTAAAAATTAATCATTATCAAAATTAAGACAACAACGGCTCTGATTGCTGGTGTAAGCCTTAATTCAACTCCCCGTTTTACGCAGCGTTTTCACTCAAAAATGGCTCATAGAATAGTCCTTTGGTTGCTATAAGGGGGCACTTTGCTTAATAGAAGCAGACGATATAAGGGTATAGTCGGAGTTAGTCTTTGCCTGCAGATTTGAAAAATATGCTCATCGCGTATGATACATTTCATCTTATTAGCAATTACCCCCCCCCCCCCCCCCAATTAAGAAAAATGAAGTTTCTTTAACAGAATATACGACGGCACTACCTGAAGTGGACGGCGTCTATGGTTAATCTCCTGGAATGACCGAGATTATTAGCATTTGTTCTTCATAAAGCCTCGCAAAACCACTCCGTTCACCTATAAATCATAATCCGCCGAGAAACGAAAAGCTCATTTATGCTTATGTACGCTCACTCCGTGATAAAAGAAATTTAAAGGATCTTAAATAAACAAGGTGCAAACTTTGCAAGGCAATGTAGCCCGACATCATACGCGTAGTCCTGTGATTTAAATACACGAAGCTATCCATGTTTTAGGCTCTAAGGGAAATACAGTCATGAGGCTGTCTGATACGAGTTTCAATCCGAAATCGCATTTGGTCTCCATCTAGGCGATTTACTTCAAAGCGAGCTCGGGTTTATCACAAGTTGAAGCACTGTGGATTAGAGTAGTTAATAAAGTGAAGCCACCGGCAAAGCTAGGGTTTGTTCTTAGTTTAGATTTTATTTTACGCACCTCAAATGTAATATCTTAATGTATATTGCAAGACTTTCGCTCTACTATAGGCTTCTGAAAAATACATTCTGTTTAATTGCTAGATTTTTAAAATATAACTGACTGTGATCTCCTAAAACTAAGAGCACAGTGGATAAACCTGGGCTGATGAGGAGATACAAGTTTGATTTTTTATTGCTACCGTGTGGCCTAACTATATTTACGATCGTTTAGGCCTACTAATGCTCATGCTACTAATGCTAATGTTAAAGGATAACTGCGATTAAAATAGCTGCACAGAATACCTGGCAGACCTGCATATGTTTCAACTTTGCTGCCATTTGGAACGAAAGGATGACATATATTCAAATGAAACCTTAAGATGCCAAGAGCATGTCAGCGTGTATTTTACATCCAACTCTACAAATAACTGAATCGATTAGCAAATCGATTCCATTTCTGTTCCATGCAAGTCTGGTATCAATATACGCCCATAGGATCGCACAGCTCATTCGATCACTAATATTCACAACTCTATAAAATTCGTCCGTAGCGCTTTTCTCAGACTCGAAAATATTACTGAACATAATTAGTCCTTAAGTGAAATGCGTTTAAATTACCAATGTTATTTTTCGTTGCGATATGCGTAGTAGACCATTATGCCTGTTCGTAACAATTTTATGTATATTTCTGTTAATGGGCGATTAGATATATGGCATAGGTGATATTTTTTAATTGAATGCGGACAATGCTCCAGAATCAATCACATTAACTGTTCATTCAATCAGGGTAAAAGGTCTTTTCGTAACACTTTAAACGCAACTAGTTTTTCCACCATTGTGCCAACAGTAGTCAGCAGTTCAGTAGTCGTGGAGTCCCATTAAGCTACACATTTATGCAGTCACACCGACGATCCACTTCTCGCCTAAGTGTATTTCGTTACCCAAATTTCGGAAGATAAATTGGATAAGAGAATGCCAAGTGGAATGTATCTTTGCCTGTATTTAGTAACGGACGTATAGCTCTTCCTCTTTTACCCAGCTAATATTAATAGCGGCACCTAGAGTAAATGACATAGCTGTGTAGGTTTCCGTTTCTGTAAAATAACTTCATTTATCCAATCGTGGAGGTGCTGGATCAACAGATTTATTGTCCAACAATATACCAAAGCCACTTCAATATAGAATAAACTAAAAATAATTGTAACTAGTACAACATTTTCTTGTATAGGTCTCGTTTCATTGTGCGTTCAGCATACGAAGGAACAGTTCTACGAGTTGGGCATGAAGCCTTAAGCGAATCTCAAGCCCTCTTAATATGCGATAATAACGTTAACGTTTGTGAAGATTTGTTGTTATATGAGCGTTGTCAATAAAACGGAAATAAGCCAAAATTATTCTAAATATTAGCCAAAGCCTATGAACTTGAAGGAACACATCGTGAACAATATTGTAGCTTCTTCAATGAACCAAATCATGTCAACTTTTAATTGTACTCTCCTGTTGCTTGGCTGCTCTTTTCGTGCAACCTACTAGCAATGAATTGGAATGCAGGTATCTACTACTTCGACGATGCCGGTACTCCTATTATTCCTGCTACATTATATGCTGTCAATGTGTAAATGATACTTACTGCGGGCACTTGCGTGCTATCAACCCGGTGTGCGAGACAGAGGTTGCTTGTATATTCGTGTACTTATGTACTTTCGTGGCAATAAAAGCATTGGCGCTCAGCTGTGGTTTCGTTAGTAATCAAGAGCATACAATGATACATATGAAAAAAAACGGCACAACTCCACGAAGGACGATGGCTATGCCAAGGGTTGCTATTCCACACCTGTAGCTTTTTCGCACCAGTCGACCTTAACGCCAGATATGAGACCGGGTATAAGAACAATATGATTTCGTGCGCTATTCAGAGTTTCGGTTCGAGGTTCGTACCTTGCCTAGCTCCAAATTAGCCTAAAAAAAGCGCACATTGCCACCACGAGATTGTTTAATTTCTGCTGTAATGAGTTGTTCGTACAACTAAGTGCATCGTGACATTGAGTCCATATGACGTACTTGGTTTACGTAAACAATTAGCTATTCTGTTTAACAGGGACAGCTATTCAAAGGACTCAGGAGAAAACCAATTGTGCGCCTGCCAAACTAGTACCGCCACAAGCGGTATTTATTCAAACAACACCTCGTCCTTATTTAGCCATAACGATGGAGATGCCTAGTATTAATGGTACAGACCGCAACACTCAGCCGCGATACTTACGCATGTGTAACAACATATGGCCCATAGCCATTTGCACTTTCAAACTAAATCTTATTTATCCTTCAGGCATGAGTTATTCTCAATTAAGAATCATCTAGGGTTTACTCCAACAAAGTCGTGCCATTTTTCCCAACATTGATGAGCTGTCATTGATGCCCGCTCTACCTGCTCAACTCGCAGCCCTTTTCTTCAGCTACTGGAAGTGCATCCGTACACGCTTCTACGACTATCGAGTTAAGAAATGATGATGTTAATGGCGTTTCCTTCTGCACTTTAAAGCTTTACCAGAGACCTTAATTTTGTATTTTGGCCGATCACTTAATCGATCTTCAATTTTTGTCTAGTCCTTCTGCGACTCAATGATTAGCTTTCCGCTTGCTGCCACCAGTTTTAGCGACGAAGCATTAGTACACCCACAAACACTACTTATTCAAGCGGCACCTCATCCTTGTTTAGACACAGCGAGGGAAATATCAGGGTTATTGGTATCAATCGTAACTAATATATTTGCGGACACACCATTAACTTTCAGTACAACGGGTAAAATAGCAACAACGGACTTGGTAGTATCGTTGTAGCATACCACTGCACGATTTTTGTGATAACCTGCAAGTATTTAGAACTTACGTGAGCCATGTGAAAGAGGAAATGCGAAACAACTATTGCGTAGTTTTCCTTTACAGAACACAGGGAAGTGATAACTGAGGCACTCAGTGTATCAATAAATTGTTATATATACTTTAGTAATAAAAATAATTTTAATTTGGTAACATCAGTGGCCATGTATTTTTTACTTGAACGCGTCTTCGTTAGCAAATCAGAAACACGATTCGGCCACGACGACAAAATTATTCACAGCCCAGAACACTCTATCTATTCAAGAGAAAGAATCGCAGCGTCATAAGTAAAAGCAATTATTGAAAAGTATCAGCCACGAAAAACCGATACGGTAAACAGTCTCCATGCACTGGAAAAAAACCCTATTAAACTAGCTTGGCGTTGATATCCATTTTCGGACATCTTGCTTCACAGCCGCAGCTATTATCATCGCCAAACAAATTTACTGTTTCCAGTTCACCATAGAGACCCCAGATGCAATGATTATTATTGATAATAGCATTAAGAAACGTATACGGCCATTCGCTGTCTTCACACACGTTTCTTCACGTGGGACTGATGCTGCGACCGAACAATGCCATCACTAGCAGTAACGTTCATGATCAGCTATCTGACTGAGTAGTTGTTACCCAGTAGACAAGCCAGTCAGTACAACTACTGTGCTAGAGCTAAAGAATTAAACTATTAAAAAAACGACGCTGACGACAACGACGAATGGACCATCGGGCAGTCTATATAGACCGATGTCAACCCCACCGTCATCGCCATTGGCGGCTCAGCGTCGGCTCCGCTGCCTGATCGAGAGTATCACCTATAGCCATCACGATATGTAGTAAACCAGCCATTCCTTAGTCGCTTTTCCTACTGCTGCTGCTGCTGTTTGAAAAGTAGGCGAAGCGCAGGGAACATCAGCGCTATATAGCTGGACAGGATGTTTATAGATAAAAACACACGTATACAAAAAGGTTTCCAATTTATTTATCTATAACTACCGTTAGAAAGAACTTCATCAGGCAGCTGATCTACCCCTCCAACAGTACAAACATTTTTTACTGCCAATATTTAAAATACACCTCACATGTGTCTTTAAAAGGTTCAGCTATGTAGACCAGTTATCATAAAATTATTCTGGGGAGTTTCCCTTTGTGATGATGGCAGCGTCGGCCTTAATTTGATCACTATCAACAAAAATGTGTGCGTACACACTTTAAAAAAAATAGACCCAACAGCAAACCCCCGACTTAATGATTACTGCGATGTATAGAGAAATTCTTTTTTTCACAATTTCTCTCACAAATTCTCTTGTGCGTGTTTGCAAAATTATATCATAATCACCGAATTATCTGTCATCAGATTTCAAGACGACTGAGACGCATCCACGTTGATACATCTTCCTTTGCCGCTGCGTCTGCTATTAGCTGACACGAGGCTTTCACGACCTGCCGTCCCGCCGACCATAGCTCCTCATAGTATTTGTATCACTGTACAGCCATAGGAAATCCACATACAGGAAGAGAAAGTAGGCAGACCCTGCAACAGTAACAGCAGCAACTACATTACCATACTGCAATCATTGGTACCCAGAACTCACAAGGCGAGTATCGCTTCGCCGCA